GTCGTTCGAGGATCGCAGGAGAAACAGAAGGTAAGTCTCTCTAGGTGAGTTCAGCTGAGAGAGTCCAGAACAGTCCATAGGAGTGACCGGTAGACCGGACGGTGAGTGACTGTGATGTGTGTGTACTTGTAGTGTGGCTTGATTGGTGACAGCAGGTGCGGGTGATCAGAGCTCAGGTGACTGTGATCGGGTAATTATTCTTGATGGTGACTGAAGTGACTGTGATGAATCCCTGACAACTATAATACCTTGGCAACAGATGAATTTTATTATCATTTTAGTTAGTGTGTTAACATTAACTAACTTTATTGTAAGTGTTACCATAAAAACTATGTAACATGAATTTTAGTACCATAAATAAATAAAAGCAAAAATGTTGTCCAGTGTTGTTTGAAACAGGGTTTTATAGTTAACTGAATCTAAAACCATTAAATATAATTTTTTGTTGCATGAAAAATTTTACAGAAATAAGATTAGAAATAAAATTAAATAAAAAAAAACTTAAATTTATTTTATTTCTTTTATTTCAACTATTTTTTATTTCTCATTTTCAGTTAAGTTGCCTTTGTACTAAAATAACTAAACCGACTATATAAACCGACTAACTATATAGACATAAAAAATAATAAAAAACTTTAAAATTAAAATGAAAACAGAAAACAGAAAACATAAAAATATAAAGGTATCTCAGTGATACTAATATGATCTTTGTGCTGACTGTCTCCAGCATGCAGCATCACTCGTCTGAGGTGGCCCGTCTGTATCAGACTGAGTTCATCCGGAGCATGTGGGTGGTGGGCATGCTGTGGGCCGTCAGCACACTCTGCTTTGCCGTGATCGAGGTGGTCATTCTCATCCAGCCGTCATGGGTGGGCACACGAGAGCTGCACTACCGAGGAGGGGGTCCGGCTCCTCCGACCGGGACGCTGGGCCTCTTTGAGGTCTGCATGGAGACGGATTGGCCCGTCCCAGAATGCCGGGGGTCTCTTCACACCCTAACCCCACTCCCTGCCTTCCAGTCTCCCGCTGTGCTGGTCTGCATGTCTCTCACCATGGTGTGGGCCAGCGTGGGCTGCCTGTGTCTGTTCAGATTCTGCAACGCAGCAACCGTCTATAAGATCTGTGCTTGGCTGCAGCTCACAGCAGGTGAGAACTGATCTCTAACTAAAGCTGCATTTATTTCATCAAAAATACAATATTTAAACGGCATTATTGTGAAATATTTTTAGAATTTTAAAGAACTGTTTTCTATTTTAAAATATTTTAAAATGTAATATATTCCTCTGATGCAAAGCTGAATTTTCAGCATCATTACTCCAGTCTTCAGTGTCACATGATCTTTCAGAAATCATTCTAATATGCTGATTTGTGCTCCAGAAACATTTCTCTGCAAAGCTGTAGAATATTGAGAATCTCTTCTAATGAAAATGAGCTTTTCATGACCTGAAATCCAAACTAAATATGTTAGACAGTACATTTCTCCTAATGGTATGTGTGTGTTTGTGGTGCAGGCTTCTGTTTGGTGCTGGCGTGTGTGTTGTTCCCAGACTCCTGGGTGTGTGCTGAGATGCAGGCGTTGTGTGGGGAGCGTGTGAGTAGTTTCTCCCCGGGGAACTGCTCTGTGCACTGGGCGTACATACTGGCCATGCTGGGGGTGCTGGACGCTGGCATACTGGCCACGCTGGCTTTTGTTTTGGGGAATCGCCAAGATGCCCTGCTGCCAGAAGACACCAAGGATGGTGATGGTAAATGCTGCACTTATTCTTGCTAAAATCTCTAAAATCAATGAATGTTTTACTGCCTGTTTTAAGAGAGTAGAGTTTAGTTAGTTAATGATTTTGAAACTGAACCATATTTTTTTTTCTCTCAAATGATACAGAAAATAGTTTTACAATAAATATACAAACATGTTTACGTTTAACATATTAAATGGAAATGTGTTTTATACAGTGGCGTTATTGATAAATAAATCTGAAAATGCTAAAAATATTTTTTTTGTAAATTTAAAATAAAGCTAAAATAAAATCAAATATAAATATTAGCTGAAAAATTTACAAAAATGAAAAAAAATGTCACCTTGGCAACAAATAATAATAAAAAAAAAGAAAGAAAAAAATAAAACAAAATAAATAAACTAAAATAAAAAATAATTAAAGCTAAATAGAAATATTAAAAACAACCAATATTACCAACTTTAAAATTAAGATGAAAACTGAAAGTATGAAAATAAAAGCTAATTCAAAATATTAATAAATATTATGATTGTATATTATGATAATCATATGATACTAAAATAACACTGGTTTTATATTGACAAATACTGTAATATAATAAATGTTGGCAAATTAATATTTTGTAATACAAATATACAAACAAAATATTTTACTCTTAAGTCTGCTTGCTTGAGTCTTTTTCTTCATTTAATAAAAATGACTAAAACTAAACTGAAATCAAATAAATGAAAGCTATACAGAAATATTTATAAAAACTATCTAATATTAACAAAAATATTAAAACTTAAACTAAAATTAAAGCTGAAAGTAAAAAATAAATGCTAATTCAAAATGATTAATTATTATAATAGCATATAAATTATATTAAAAACACTTTATTGATAAATAATATATATAAATATTTTGTCAACAATAAATGTTGGCAAATTAATAGTCTTTTATTACATATATATATATATATATATATATATATATATATATATATGTATAATTAATTAATCAACTTTCCTTGTGATTGTGATATTGTGGTACTGAGTGAAGCTGCACTGCTTGCTTGATTATCTTTCTTAATTTAGTATAGTATTAATTACACTCATTTTTATGTTATTCTCTACACACAGATATTTGAATCATGTAATGTTGTTTTCTTCTCTCTTCTCAGTGACTGGCTTGTTACTGACAGCATAAAACAGGCCTGAGCTGTTCTCACTCAGTCAGAAACTGCTGGTAAGACAGTAGTCTGGTTTCTCTGGGGATTGTTTTTCTGGCACTAGCATCCTCTGCATCTCACTGTTCTTTTCATCACATCGTTTGTGTGTAGAGACGTGTGAAGAGACGCTGATCTCTTCCCCCTCAGCATGATGTCATCATCCTGTGAATTCTGCTTACATAACCTGTCTGCATAGAAACAGTCACCTGGCAACAGTATCCGAGTCCTTTCTCCCCTGGTGGAGGAACATTACTCTGATCTTGTAATGGCGGCTCTAAATAGAGAAGAGGAAAGGCCATTTTCTTTGTGCATTTCCAAGTGGAGGTACAGTCGAGGTCTCTGTGACCTGCTGCGATGCACACACAGATCACATCAATGTGCTTTTCAGTTAAAGGATGCTTAGAGGATTAACTGTGATGTTTGATTCCGTGTTCTGGATGTTTTTGTGCATGAATTTAAGATGAGGACTGGAGTGAAATGTAGGTAGATATTCAGCATTATAATACTGTTGTTTTCTTTGTCAGTAAAGTCTTAAACGTGGATTTACTGATTTGATCATCTTTAGGCTAAATAATTGTTCATATTTATAGTTGGCATGAAATCAAAATTTGCCTATTTATTTTCTTATCCAATATCTAAATGAGATTGTTTCTTCAACATCACTTGCTCACAAATGGATCCTCTGCAGTGAATGGGTGCCGTCAGAATGAGAGTCCAAACAGCTGATAAAAACATCACAATAATCCACACCACTCCAGTCCATCAGTTAACATCTTGTGAAGCGAAAAGCTGAGTGTTTGTAAGAAACAAATCCATTACTAAGATGTTTTTAACCATGGCTAATACCATAATATTGCTTTTTTAAGTGAAAAAGTCGTCTCGTCTGAATCAAGAGAGAAATATGCACAGATCAAGCAGCGTTGACAAGCGAAAACAGTTCTAAACAAATATTTTGTTGGAGATGGACTTTTTGACAGAAGGAAGCATTATTATGGATTATGGACTGGTATTTTGGCCAGAAGCGACATTTTAAAGTTAAAATGCCTTAATGTTTTCTACAGACACTCACTGCTTTTTACTTCACAAGATGTTAATTGATGCACTGGATTCATGTGGACTGCTTGTGGATTACTGTGATGTTTTTATCAGCTGTTTGGACTCTCATTCTGACGGCACCCATTCACTGCAGAGGATCCATTGGATATCCTGAGGATGAACACATTTTGGGCAAATTTTAAATTCTGGGTGAACTATTCCTTTAAGATCTGCCTCTTTTCTCTTTTCACATGGATATACTTTACAATACGGTAATAAAGTTGATTGCAACTTCCGCTTCATGCCAACATCAAATCTGCATGCCACTGTTGTATTTGTAATTGTCTTCAGCCATTGTCTTAGATGTTTAGATGCAATTCTAATAGGCTATGATTTGATCAAGCTGTTGCATTAAATGTTAAATGTGAGGTCATTTCTAACCCACTTCCACTGTAAAAGCAATGCAAAGTTCTAAACAAAATATTGGTGTTCACATACACTTTATTAGCACTTACAGTGATTTTTGTTGTTTGACAAAACTCGCAGTGCAGAGATATTTATTTTTGTACAAGATTTTATAACTGCACAAATATCGAAAAGCATTTAAATATACTAAGAGCCACGATTTCCTTGACAAATTCATAATTGTCAGATTACAAACCCAGAGGGCAAGAAGTTGGGACAGTGATTAGTATCAGACAGAATGTTTCGAAGCCAAGTGAAGGGACAAAATACACTTCATCAAGCTTGAATAGGATGCATATGACACTAAGAAGATGGTACACCACTTTAGACAGCCAATCAGAGAAAGAGAGGACGGGAAACTCACTTGGAGCAGGTTTGACATTTAGACAGGCTGATCTGATGCTGTGCTGTTTAAACCTTATCTTATCTTATGCGATAAATAGATTTCAATAATTTTTGTTTCTCAATCATTTGTAAGAAAGAAAAGAAAAAAAAAGCAATGTCAAAAAATCAACTGATCTGATTCACAAATCTGTAAATATAACATATAAGGCCTGTTTCACACAGTAAGTGAAATAGACTGATATACATTATTTAAGCAGTTTGAGATGTTCGGTTTAGATTCATTGCCTTTTGGATCTAAGTGTTTCTGTTCAAAATGTTGGAGTCTAAGATTTTTTTAATGTTGATAGAAGTCTATTTTGCTCAAGGCATTTATTTCGTAACAGTACAGTAAATTAGTAATATTAATATTGTGGAATGTTATTACAATTTAAAACAGCTCTTATTTTGTGTATATAATTTGTGAAAACCATGAGACATTTATTCAGGATTCTCTGATGAACAGAATATTCAAAATAATTTATTTGAAATAGATATCTTTTGTAACATTCTAAATGTCTTTACTCTCACTTTTGATCAATTTAACGCATTCCCGCTGAATAAAAGCTTGTCGAATGAATAAACGTAAATAAAAATACCCATTTCTGACCCCAAACTTTTGAACAGTAGTTTAAGTAAATTAGATTATATAATGTTTATAATTATCAATGGCCTACTCCTGATAACTATTTAATCTATGGCTATCACATAAAAAAAATCAATATAGCATCCCAGAAATCACTTTATTTTCCATATAGAGCTGCCATTCAGTTACACAGCAGAAATACTGAGAGCACAGAGTGAGCCTGCTGTTACAGTTACTGCTGCTTTGCTCACAATATGAAACAGAGTGTCTCCAAACCCACTGACAGCTGTAGCAAAGCTCGGATATATTTGGATCTCTGTAGAAGCACAGTCATGCTGCTTTCATCTGTTGAGAAACTCAGGGATTCTGGGTGACAAAACATCACCTAAATGCTGGTCAAGCTGTGGTTTTGTTTTTAAGGACCAAGTGAGTTATCAACAGCATTTCAACAGATCTTATTTATAGTGAAGCGTCATTTAAAACCATCTCAGTCTGTAATAAAGATTAGTGTGACCTTGATCCTGTTGATTCTGACAAAAACAGCGATGAGCTACTTGTGCAAGCCAGTAACTGATGCTAATTTCCATGTCGGTAAGGTCATTTAATGCCTGTACTATGGAATAAAAAAATTAAAAAGGTAACGGAGACTTACGATCTCACAGTTCTGACTTTATAGCAATTCTCAGAAAAAAAAGTCAGAATTGCAAAATGTAAACTCAGAAATCAGAGAAAAAAAGTCAGAATTGGGAGATATAAACTTGCGAGTTTATACCTCACAGTTCTGAGTTTATGTCTCACAATTCTAAGAAAGAAAAAAAAGGCAGAATCGTGAGATAAAAACACATAATTGCGAGAAGGTCGGAACTGGGAGTTTATATCCTGCAATCAGACTCAGAATTGTGAGATGTAAACTCAGAAATCTGAGAAAAAAGGCAGAATTTGAGACAAAAACTCATAATTATGAGATGTGAACTCAGAAATCTGAGAAAAAAGGCAGAATTTTGAGATATAATCTGAGAAAAAAGTTAGAATTGTGAGATATGATCCATTACCTTTTTAATTTTTTTGGCAGAAAAGGCCTTCCATACTGTATAATGTAGCCAGAAAGAAGATAAACAAAAAGCATATTCCATAAGCTGTTATGTGTGTGGGATTTATTATAGTATAACATTGAAACAGAGCAACATCATATCAAAGTACCTCGGCAAGCAGGCCTTGATTAGATTTAAGCAGATGACAATGAACGCTGGCGTATCTGTAAGCAAGTAAAATGTTGCAGTTCCTCTGTCTGTCTAGATTTCCCTCTATTTTCCCCCAAACGTTTCCTTGTTATTCCTCTCACTTTCTCGTACTCTTTAGGCTGGCAGGTACTGCAGGATGTGCTGTGCGATCAGAGCGGGGTCATAGGTCAGGGCTCTGCGCTTGCGGCTGTGTTTTTTGGGGGGCGGCAGGTCAGTGTCTATGCGCTTCATTCTCTGCAGGCTGACGTGTGGTGTTCTGTTGCTCTGCCCTACGACCTCGTCGTCATCCACGTCGCCATCGAGCCGTTTCACCCTCAGTAGCGATGCCTCGACCTGGGGGGAGGGGCCAGGGGCGGAGTCCAGGGACCGGCGGGAGCGTTTTAGGGCGGGTCCTCCAGATTGCTCCATGTTGGCCACAGCGCTCAGGTCCCGTTTAGCACGCTGGTTTGAAGGGCCTCCCTGATTGCCACCCGATGCCAAGCTGGAGAGGATCTTCTCAACAAGGTACCTTTAATAATACATAAAAATTGTAGTATGTTTGCTTAAAGACAACTTGAAATTAACATGGCCCAATTCATATGCTATTGCCCAAAAAAAGGTTGTCTTAATGTTTGTTTTTTTAAATAAACTGCATTTTTTGGAACAGTGTAATTGTAATTTTTTTCACATTTTTATTAATATTTTAAATGACCTTTTTAGTAATTTTATGTGCTTTTCTCATTAGTTTTTTTTAATAGTTTAGGTTTTCCATCTAATAAATGTATTTGTGTATTTGTCTTTTTTATTAGTGTTTGTTTTAACTATATTACTATTTAGTTCTAATTTTACTTTAAGTTTTTCATCTAATATTTATATTAGGGTATTATTAATATTTTGAATGCGCTTTGATTTCTTCATTTTCAATTTTAATTTTAATTTCAGTATTCGTTGTAATTTTGTTATGCATTTGTAATTTTTATTATTTCTAATCTTAGTTTAAGTTTTTAATCTAATATTTATATTTTTATTAAGAGTTTTTGATTAGCTTTTGTACAATATTTTCATATACATGTAATTTTGTTTTTGTGCTTTTCTATTTGGGTTTCAGTTAGGGTTAGTTCAGTTGTAGTTTTTATTTATTTACAGTTATTACTTTTAGTGTTTTAGCTTATTTCAGTTAGCTTTATTTCAATCCTAGACTGTAAAAAAATTATTAAATTCAAATGTTTTTAATAGTTTTTTGTTATTATAACCCTGAATCTGAGGTACTGTTCTCTTTGCGAACGACATGTTTTCATTACCTGAGCATCTCTTGGTCTTTGTCCTGCTCTCTCTCAGGAATCCTGTTGGTGTTCGGAGCGAGTCCAGCCTGCATCAGTC